GGGTAAGTACATATGAAATGATCATATTGAAAAAGATGCAGTTTGGAATCTTTATTCCCCTGATAATAAAATCAGCGCTTTACAAAATCATATGTAATAGCATAAAAATTCCTCTAAAATATCAGCTCCTCTCTACCTCTCCATTAAAAAAATCACATGCATCAATGCAAAGAGAAAATTTCTATTTTAACTGTCACATTTCCTTTGATGTACATGAATACTTTTCAACTTAACAATTCTTTTTTGATAGGCACAGACAAATTGCTGTAAAAGGAATCTTGGAGAAAGACAGTTTGATTCTACCAGTTTTTTCCCCCATATGTTTTCAAATCAATTAACCAAGTACATTAACAGAATACACAATGCATTAGCTTAAAAGGAATAGAATATCTAGACAAACAAATCCTACTTTTACATAACCAATGTTGCAGTTACTGGTCTAAAAAAATCAAGCCTTTCAGCATCAGAAAAAGCTTGAACTTCCATGCAGGAGCTGGGACCACTCTTTTTTATATTCCAGTACCTCTGCATAAAAGCCAGCTTCCTACTCATCTCCAGTCCCCTGGACACTGCTTCCTTGGGCAGTTCAGCTGCCACTTGCCCTCCCCCTATTGCCCTCTGTGGCCTCAGTGCTCCTCCTCAGTACTGTGCTGTACCCAAGCTCCCAGTGACTGCCTCCAACAATGTCCAGAAACAAATGTCAGAAAAGACAGGAGCAGTAAGGCACATATGCTCTCCCTCACAGAACTGATTTATAACTTTCTATCTTCCCCATATTGATGACAGATCATCTGCCAGTCAAGCCTAAGCTGAAACTAGAAACTTTCAAGTTACAGCAGAAGCACTAAGGTCATAATGAAATAAAAGAAAACTCCATATTCGTAAACTTCATACTGAGTTAAAGGGAATAAAACATGAAAGTATTGGAGGAAATAATACTATACCTGGAGGAAAATTGCATACTATGCTCTATACAAGTCTTACATTTTTTCACACTTTTTGTAAACATTTATAAGTATGTTATAATTGTAAATCAATAAGATAATTTCATAGAAAAAAAATTTATGGCTAGGTTGTAGCATTAGCACCTTCACTTACTCATATGTGAGAATATATGCATAAATAAGCCCACATAGCCTACAAAGTCTTCCACTGTGCCAAATATAGCCATTATATGGTTTTAGTACTTCCTATATGCTTGTTCTGTCTTCTCCTCTTGACAGCCAATAAAAAATACTGGAAATTACTCTCTTTAATGAGAGACAGATATTAAAAAGCCAGTAACAAATGCACTCCTATAAACAAGTAGCTCAAGCCGTGCAAGTACTTTCTCATGCATATCATAATAGCAGTTCAAAGAAACTACCAGATAAAGAAGATGCACAGATTTTAGAAAAGGCCAGTCTTGCAGCAAACATTTTAGTTACAATCTTTGAAAGATCTGGGCTCAGTAAATTGGATCTAAGCCTACCTCCTATGGGACATCCAATATCACTCAATCTCTCTGTAACTCTGGAAGTAATAATAATTCCTTTCTCCCACCTTTTACTGACCTATCTTTTTAAGTAGCATGCAATCCAGAGTGGGGACTGTAACTGTGTTTGCATATATAGACATACATATAAAAAATGTAAAACAGATATAGCTAGCTAGCTAGATACATAGATAGATAGATAGATAGACAGATATTTATTTATCTACATAGTATCTAGAACAAAGGGATTTTTGTCTGTAGAAACCAACAGGTTCTACACGATGCTGTGACTCACACAGCAAAAAACATATCTTGGCATTCTGAAAGGAATGCCCTTTTCAGGTATTCTGCATCTTTTTTGTCTCTGGCAAGTAGGCTTGCAAGTGGGGGTTGATCATGTTTCTGATATGTACTCCATAACACCTTTTGGAGCAGTTGAACAAAGCTCAGACCCTATACTCTCTGAATAACAGGAAAAGACATACAGGGAGAAAGACTCGTTTCAAAGCTAGTACTTGATGTTTGAGGTCTTTGCTTTAATTTGATTTCGGAATTTATCTAGATCCAAACATTGCATGCTTTCACTCTTGAAATTATTACAATCAACAAATTTAGGTAGGTGAGAAAATATTTATTTATATATTGCTTTTTATCTCTTAGATACACTCAAAGAATAGCAAACGCTTTGAAATGCTGAGTTCAGTTGTTCCAAAATATTATAGGTAACATGAGAAAGCAAACCACTCACTCCCTTCTTACCTGCCACCAAAGTACACAAGGAACACCTTTTCTAATTTATTGTCATCTTCCTAGAAATAGTTACACCAATTAAAATAATTTTAATTTGAGTGACAGCTGACTCTTCAGTGCCATTCCAGGACAAATGTGTCATCTGTTTTTACATTCTTGGATCCAAAGAGTTTTACAAGAATGTATCATTCTTTCACTTTTTTCACAATCACCCATTTAAGCAACTCCTGACAACTAAACACTACATGCAATAAGCACTGTATGCAATAAAATCGCTGTTCCTCTTTGACATGCACAAATGAAATAAAACCTCCAACAGCAAATCAATGTCTACACTTTTGAATGAGTATAATTATGGTTGGAAGAAGCAGGCAAGTCAATATGAAGATTGCAAGTAGAACCTTTGGGTTTGTCAGTCCTTTCTAGTGGCTGTTTACATTTTGCACTTTCATAGAGTACTCAGAAAAACAAAATAATTCTGTTTGAAAGCTACAACACAGACCACACAACTACCATATCAACAGCACACTTCAGTATCCAGAAAGCTTTAAGTATTTTCAGGGAGAAGCAGAGGCATCACATCTCACCTGTCCTACACCACGAGAGCTTGGTATAAATAGTGTAGAATTTAAAAGCACTACACAATAAAGATACCAGTGTCTGACAAAACCATTATTTCACTGAGAGGTATGATACTTCCCTCCGAAAGGCAATAAAAAGTAAATTCTACACTGCACTGTACATAAAGAACAGTTAAAATGAAAAATTTGTTGTATGACAACTCATGTTGTTAACAATATAGGCAGATCAAGATAAGTGGGTGGATTTGGATCATCATCAGAAGACACAAGGCCATATTTGCCAGTCTATTATGTCATGTTTCTTGAATTCATGATCCTAGGAGTGCAATAACTTTTTATGACATGATGGAGAAGTTACATTTTATACATGCTCCAAATACCCAGGCAAGATAAATGAATTAAACTCAGCAACCATATTGTATTTTTTAAATGTTAGTGGGCAATATAGCATATGGATAATTCTGAAGTCTAAAGCATATAAATCATCATATAAAAGCAATGAAAAGCACACTGTGATTGTCAGATGACTTACATCAAATTAATCCCTACCTCTGTAAACCAAAATAGTAGGAAAATATGAGAAATATAAGAAAATGATGCTAAAGAGATTGTTTGTTAAGTCAGTAGGGAGCACAGCACCAAAATCACACATAATATTTCTGGAACTGATGATAGACTTGAAATCCTATCCTCTTCCTAAAATGGCTCATCCCATTCAGAAGGGCTATACCATTTGAGAAGCAATGGTCATTTATATTTCCCATCAAACATTCCTGCTCAAAACACACGTAGATTTTAAAAAATTTGCAAAGAATCATTTTTAGAGAAAAATATGGTTAAATTGTTATAAGATGCCTCAGTTAAAAAAAAAAAAAAACAAAAAAACAAGAAAACAAACAACACTTTTATTATTTGACCAATTATTAGTTTCTTTGATGCAATTGCATTTATCTTTAGTCACTGAAAATGTATACAATATTGCACATCCAAACCTATGCTTTAACAATATGCTAATTATACAGTTCAGATGATCTGGAAAGAAATCCATTTTGCACTGATGATATAAGGGAGTGACAGTGCAATTTACATTAAGAAATGTTTTCTCATTTTTCTCAAAAATTGGTTTGCACTCAGCCGGAGAAATCTAAATTCGACCAACAGGCATCCCTCCCTGCTTCTCCATGGTTACAAAATAACATGACAATCTGAATGACGGAAAAGATGCACATAAGAATGGGTTACAAAAACTCCTCTGGACACAGGTACCCAGGCAGTGAATGTTTTCTTTTGTAATCTGATTAAACAGACAATTATTGTATGCAACAATATTGCAATGCTAGTAGCAGACAATTCTCAGGGATATTACTTCAAACATTTTGAATTAGGTCTTCCAAATTGTCTAAATTATCCCCCAGGGCCGTTGGCCTGTCCACATTCCTGAGTTCATGGGAAAAATTCTAACTGGAGGTGTTAACACAAAGGTTCCCCTTTTGCTTAGAGCTTTGTTCACATACCTCTCTTCACTCCAAGTTTGACAGTACTGTACCAGGGTGTACTTTTGGCACACACTTTCCTGCCACTTTAATACCAATCTGTATAGGCAGAGACTGAAAGAGAGTGATCGCTTCATTGTGATTTTCCTTTTAATGTTCAAGGGATACAGACTGGGAGACAGCACAGTGAGAATCCTGATTCCTGGCACACTGCTCTTCATCAGCCACAGACATCTAAGCACAAGGAATTGGAGGGCTAAAAACAGTCTTGATTTATTCATTTGATTCAGAGTTATCTTGCCAGATATATTATGAAAAAATCCATGCCCATAATTTATCCTCAGACTGATACGCTTCATTACACTGTGGATTCATGGAGAAACACAAAAAATAAAAAAGATTTTCACAAGTTTTTGGGACCATGCAGCTTTACAGATACAGCTGCACTAAAGCTGGAATTTAGTCACATTTTATGTAATATTAAAACTATACCAATGCATTACAAGGATAAACTAATGTAGTGTAATGATGTGCCATAGACAAGACTAATTAGTATTTTCTTAGAGAGAGCCTACAAGAGTCTAGCATTCAGAAGTGCAGATCCAGAAATTTTCAAGATTATCAGCAATAGTGGGCAGAACAGAAAAAAAGAACAAGGATGGGTGATTCCAAAAAAAGATTACAGACTATCACACCAACCACTTTTTATTTAATAAGGGATGTTTATTTAAACAACTTAGAGTCAAAGTACAACATATTTCCATCAGACAGAAACCTGGGATTTTAGAACATTACTTCAGGCAACCATTTCTTCTTTAGAACATCATCTTCAGGTAACCACTTTCTGGCTTTTATTTGTATTATATACGTATTTCTCACAGGGAGGAATAGAACTTGCATGCCAAATTAAAACCAGCATTATTGGAAGTCTTAACAATAAGTGTGAAGACAGAAGCGCGTAAGCCCGAGGATAAAATAAATCCATCGTAATATAATTCCACAAAATAAAGATGAGGTTAATCTGAAACCTATGAAAATGAATATCAAGATTTTAATTGACCTCAGCAGGTTTCTGCAGCTAGGCATGTTCAACATGATGGTTCAGTGTAATTTTGTACTGTTTCTAAAGAATGTTCACCCCACCACCAGTTCAGCCCCCTCTCAGCAGTTTATGCATTTCCACTGGAAACTGAAGTGTCTGAAATTACTCTCTGCAGTGACTTCCTTCTTTGCACCGACGTTTTCAAAGGCATTTTTGAATATGCAAAAGCAAGTTTTTACAGTTACTGTTCTTCTTTAAAAAAAAAAAAAAAGAAAGCCATGATGAAGGTGCAACTCTGCAGTGATTTTCTCTGGAATATGTTAGGATGATAAACTGTGGACTCTGGAAAAAGAAAACCGCAGAGGAAATAAATGGCAATTTCAAAAACACACAAAAATTCATTATACTAGAAAATTTCAACGTTATAAAAATAAAATTTTCGAAACTGCATCTTGATTTTCAGATCACTGAAGTTACTTCATAACCACAAAATGTCTGTCCAAATTAGGATACTATTGTAGCTTTTAAAATGAAGTTTTCTGGAGGAAAATGCTTGTGGTTTTTGTGCAGAAAAAGTGGTTGGTTTGTTTTCATTTTCTCCAGGAATTCAGGATGCCAACAGCTTAAAAGCTACTGACAGATTAATAGCTCTTTCATTCTTACTCCATTCCACAAAACCTGAAAGCCACCCTCAAGAAAACAGCGAATTTGATCAGTATTTCAACCTAAACACTTCACTGTTTCAGGCTTCATAGGTGGAAAAACACTATGATAAATTAGACTCAGTATTCATGTCCCTGTTTACTTTCCTGGTACTATCTGCTTGAAGCTAAGAGAAGTCATAATCTTCCAGTTGCTGTATCATACTTCTTTTAATGATACTAAAGCATGTATAAGATGAGGGTAACTACCCATAGTTGTCCTTGTCCCCTTGTTCCACTCTTTTTTTTTGTTGTTGTTGTTTTTTTTTGTTTGTTTGTTTGTTTTGTTTTGTTTTGTTTTGAACAAAGATAATCATAAAATGTTTGCAGGAGTAAAAGAGATATTTAAAAAAAAAATCTCCATTCATAATGAAGTGTAATGTTAAAGGTAATGGGAACTTTAGAGACAGCAGAAACATTTGAAGTGCCCCTGTCACAGCAATTGCCTTGTGATTCAGGAATTTGACATTACATACCTGAAAGCCTCCAGCAGCTGCTTTTGAAGGCTTGGCTCTTCTCTTGCACCAATTCTGTGAAACAGAAGGGAAGAAGATGAATTCCTATCTGTAAGAAGGCCACATCACCTGCACTCAACCCCACAATGCTGACACTGTGCATAGACATATAGACAAATGATTACCTGATTCATGTTGTCCAGTTCCAGAAACGTAGGCTGCAGTTGGTCTGAATTTTGTACCTAATACCTTTCCTTTTGGAATTTCTGCTGCATTACTGGCAGCCCACAACAGATGAGTATCTGATGTGTTCCATCAAGTGAAATTCCCATTCAGCCTTTTATCTCATGACTGTTGGATTCTGCACAAGTAATAAATACAAAATATCTCTCACCTGCAAACGATTTACAATAACATAATCAATTATGAATTTCCTGTGATCTACTCTACCATGAAAGAAAGTAGCATTCAATGTGTGGAAATATTTTAAAAGAAAAACTGACAACAAATTCCAGTCATCATGGTTTTTGTATGATTGCTTTCTCTCCTTTCACATATGTTTACAGTCACAGCAGTTACACCAACACCATTCAGGAGTTCATTTATTCACCTACCAAAAGGCACTGCTAATAACAGAACATTTTCTAGGGTTCTGCCCAAGGGCTCTGGGGTTTAAACTGCTGTGTTGGCCTTTGCTCACCAATGGAGAAATGTTGCTACCAATTATTTTATCTCACCCACCCTGCATGCCTCTTGTACATAATGATATTTTTGAGGCTTTAAATCTCTTTGCTAAAGGCACTAAATGCAGATGTGTACTGGGCTTGAGGCTTATAACTTGTAGAAGGGAATACAGAAGCTGACTAAACAAATGCTGGTCAAAGGACTGAGTCAAATCCCTCTGAATTCACAGTCTAAAGCACACTAATGGACAGTAGTTAAATGTATGGAACTTGCTAACCCACAATAGCACGTTCACGTATCATAACAAACCATAATTTTTCCATACTAAGTGATTTTCGTTCTCCTGTGCTGCACGTAATAATTAGAGAAAATAATTAAGTTGTAAATTATCTTATCTACTTGAAAGACAATTGGGAGAAGATGGGCCAGAAGTGTGGAGAGGAGAAGGATTATATGGGCTATTTACCCCTGCCCCACCATCATATTTTGTATTACATATGAATAAAAGTGTAGGAGGGAAAAAAAGGAGCAACTTATTTGGGGTCCTAGTTTCCTTTTCCCTCTGTGTCCCTGGGAGCATGTGGGTGGACAAGAGTGTGCACACAGGCAATGCAGGAGTAAAAGATTTGTGTGTCTCCATTTCCTTCAGTGATTCCTTATCTTTTTATCTTGTCTAATGTTTTGTGTTCTATCAACCTAACACACCTCTGGTAATTAAACCTCCTTAATGTTACAAGGATAAAACTTTACACAATAAACCAGAAAGTTCATTCCCCTTACAGAGAGCATCAATCCTTTTTCACAAGGGTCTTTTGGTTTTCTTCTTACTTCTCATTCATCTTAAGTCTCACTTCCTCAGACCCTTCTGGTTTCCACAGTAACAGAAAACCCTAAAATTAAGTGTTATTGTAATTACCCAAACAGTACCATGGACCCCGCATTCAGTACATCAACATACTCATACTGCATGAAAATCCAATATAAATTCTTTTTTTGATCTTATTTTTGTTCCTTTCATTCAATGTATTATAATTTCATGCTGTAATATGTAGGTAAAATGGAATTCAGCAATCATGACCACTTGACAGCAAATAGATAAAAAAATTCTAATAAATTCTAATAAAATTGTATCCAGTTCAAGTAGCAACAAGCATCATGACTGGCTCATCTCACAATCAAATAACAAGTGCATGTTTAACTTCTCAACAGCTTTCAAAGTTCTCTAGGTGGATTATTTTATGTTTTTCTTAAATTCACCTTCCCTTTTACAGTCATCCTTTCTATTTATCTTTGCATAACTTCTGTCTCAAAGACATTCACAATTCCTTCCAACTTTTTCATTCATATGCACTTTATCCCAGTCTTCCAGGTGTCCTTTAATTCTGGCAACACCCAACTTTCTTGTCAGCAACACTTTCAATAAACTGTAATTTAGAGAATGTGAGGTATATACAGTACTAGACTACATTTTGACTGTCTGGCATCACTCATGTCCAATGATCTAAACTGGATGAATCTGTAGAAAAAAACTTTGTGTACCAGTTCATCAATATTTGACTAAAATCTAAATATTCTAGATAACATTCTAAATAATATGTATTTCTTAATTTTCTATATTTTTAGTACTCAACCATTAATTTTATAGTGCTCTCAGAAAAAAAATATTTTTCCCTTGCAAGATTTTTCATCTACTTTTCTTTCATCTCTTCATCATAAAAGTGTCCTTTGTGTAGTCTGTAGCCATTGCATACTTTTTACAAACTACTGAAAACAAACAATTAAAGCGCTAATCCAAATAATTTTCTGTAAAACACACCAAAGAAGCTATTCAAAACCTTTGTATGAAAAGCAAGAAATGCTTTTTTGTAAAGAGCTCATATTTTTCATATTCTTGGGACAAATAATAAATTTTACTTTTAAGTTGCCATTTTGTGCTGGACCCCCAACCAAGTGAGGAGTCCCTATAGCCTTCAAAAGATTAGCATAAGGATTCCAACAGCTCACAGTTTGAAATGGATATTGTTCCTAGCTATCCTGATAAGAATATGTGGTAGATTGGCCAGATCCAGGTCAGAGTCCCACAGATTACTCTTTTTATATATCTTAACGACATTAAAAAAAAAGTCACCAAACACAATTAAGCAAAATACTGATCAAATACATCTACTCCATGTAGTCCTATCAAGGTGCAAAAGTACCTCTCACCTCTTGGTGACATCTGCTCTCCTCATTTAGCTGTGCACTAGTAATGCTAAGTCAATGTTATTCTGATATCCTTCTATTGTATTTAAAATTTTGGGTTGTCTGCCAAAGCCTCAAACCATGTTTAAGGCCACCGAGTTGTCACAAGTGTGAGAGTTGCTTAAATTTAGTCCCTGTTTCTGTAACATTCTGGTAAAAGGAACTAAATATCCTCAAGAAATTGCTTTTTAATCAGGAAATGTGCCACAGTGAATGTATGGGGCTGCTACACCTACCCCAATCTCTAAATTTTGACGCTATAGTTTTGCCATTTGCTGTTTACATCATGCCTTCAGAAAGCACAATGAATGCTTTTGCATTTCAGACTCACATTTTCACTCTTCCAGAACGGGATTTTTTTGGATTCTTGCCACATTTCCTAGCACCTCACACTACCTAGCCTGGAAATGGCAATCAAATTTTGAAACTGTAGTATCTAAGTTACTTTGCCCTATTTGCAGTAAGTTTAAATTAATTCAAAGACTTCTAAAATTATTTTCAAGGCAAAAATGACTTGTAGGTTTTTGTGTTGTATTGTAGCACTGTCAGTAAACCTGTCAGTATAGTTAAGGCCAGTCTCTTGTCTTTGTTACATTTTTCTAACTTAGCATGATGCCATGTGTACAAAATTCCGAGCTGATCTCAGCATACATTTATAGGTTAATATATGAACCATACACTTATTGATTAATATGAGAACACACTGCCCCACTGACCCTTGTCCTTTGAAACAAAGACTGCTTGTGCAAAGAGATGGGGGATTTCTTGGGTACACTGAATGTTTTCACTGACCATTCCAATGCAAATAAAAATTCAATTACTGTGTAATCTCACTGTTTCAACATCAAATTTTGAACCAAAAGCTTAAGTTGCAATGTTAATAAAAGTGCAGTTTTTATAAAAATATCCTTTGTAGTTTCTAAATAGCAACAGATGGTTGTGTCTTCTCTTGAAAAATATGAAAATAATGTCATGCATCTCAGAAACAGTCCATCCATGAGCTTGTGTTTCAAAAGACTATGATTAAAGACAATATATCTTCTAATAGATTACCATGTGAGTATGAAAAAGAAGTATGCAACATCAAATGAACTTTCACTTATCCCAATTTCACACCCAGTCATCATCTATATCATAAAACATTCATATCCCTATATTACTCCAATTTTAATTTCTTACAAATGATGATCCAGTCAGTAGTAAACTCTTCTCTGAAATATAAGAGAAGCCATAATTGGTTGAAAAAGAATATTTGCATGCCAGGCACAGAACACAGGTACACATAGATAAGATTTTATCTCCATCATCGTTTGGTACTGGGGTAGCTGCACATTATTAATGTGTGGGACTTTTATTCATTATTAGAAGTCTGTTGTTGAAGGAGGTAGCCCCAAGTCCCACAGGGAATGTCACACATCCTCTAGATGTCTCTGGAGATTAATTCTAAGAACATTGTAACTGAGCAGCATCCATTGTAAGGAGTCAATCATATTAGCATTATAGCTGTTCTTCAATATTTGCTCTGTTTGAAGAATCAAACTATCTTTTTGCCTGCAGTCTTGACTCAAGGCTATCCTCCACATGCACACTAAACTTTATTTCTCTTAGATGTGTTTCCATTTTGAGATTTACCTCTGCATTTTGGCAATAGTATTCATTTTTGTTAACATTTCAGTCACTTATAGCAATATGCTGCAGTTCTGTAATATTCTTCGATAGATCCATGTTAAAAATTGATGTGGGCAAAATGCTGAGTTAAAGCTGCATAGCTGAACTTCCACTATGTGAATCTGGGTCACAAAGCTGCATATTTCACTACTGATTTTTTCATATCATTATACTAACACCTGTCAAAATACAAATGGACAAACACTTTAGATGTACTTTTTACAGACTTGATTTCATGATGTCTGCCATTACAGGCACAGAAACAGAACAGTCCCCTGTGGTAGTAGTTTTCCATACTTTTATAACTAATTTTACACCAACTTCTGCAGATGAAATATAGCCTACTACACATAGTATCATACTGCTCCTCTGTATTAAACAAAGGCATAACTTATCCAAAATCCACTGATACCACTTTCCATTTACTTCATCTGGCGTTGAGCAGGCATTTAGGAAACAGCACCCAAACAGCACAGCTGTGTTTGCACAGCCATTCCCAGTGGAGGGAATGGAACAGCACCTTTACAAAGCACAGAGATGCACGTTTACAGAGCCATACCTTGGACATATGGCAAACCAAAGCTTCAGTGGAGTAGAACACAAAGACCTCCACTTTTGTAAACTGGAAGTGCTACATAAAGATATATGTTTGGATGAAGAAAAAATGCCATCTCTTGTCTCAAACAGCAATCTGTACTAACTGGAAGTAGGTTATCACTCAAGAGATGTGCAACTGTTTTGCAGTGCTTTTAGTCTTCAGCAATTAGTCACCTTCATTTTTAATTTGCTGCATTAAAATACATCTTCGAGAACAAATGTGATCAGTGTAAAAAGACATAACAGAGAATGTCGTGCTGTCTTTGGCCAAGATAGAAGACAAGCCTGCACGGTATTGTATAACAGTCAGTAGCGAATGTATAAGCTCCTTAAAAGCAAATTTGTTTCACTGTAAAAAGTGATTTCAGCAACCTTGGTGCTTCTCCTGAAGTATAAGCATGGAGAAAAGAAGAAATAAAAAAGACACCTTTTGATGAGAGGTTATGTAGTCTCTACAATTGAGTAAATTTAGTTGCTGTTGCAGCAGAGGAATGTGATAGGAAATTTTACAGTTGAAGGAGAAATGTCACAGTATTTTGATAAGAGAGCGATGAACTTTTTTTCCCTTGTGCCATTATCAAGGCGAAGTGAACAAAATACATCATTTATAACCCACTGCTCTACCATTATCTCCTGGTGAGACACTTGTTTTAAAACACACAAGGACCTTTTTTCTCCAAGACTAAAGCTCTCTGTGAGGCTCAGTCTTCCTTTATAACCATGAAAGAAAGTTGACACTTGTGTGGGCCAAAGTTTCCAGGCAACCACACAAGGGCACTTATATACCCTCCAGGTCACCCCTTGTTCTGAAGTACAGAGGAAGCATATGAACAGTGTATGTCCCTTTGATCACAGATACCATCTAAAACTGATGTGGAGAGAAAATCCTGCACTTTGGAAGAAAAGCACTACAGTCTCCTCAAAGCTTTCTCTTACCTAATATACTAAAGGTTAGTGTGGTAGTGCAGAAC